TTGAATAGTATAAACTTCTTGATATTTACTAAAATAGTAGGAATTTAAGCCTAGAACCGATTACTGTATTGGCGGACTAATACTATAGCTGGTGGACCTCAAATGCAAGTGAAAACATGTTGAGGTAGACCGTAAGAAACCGTTAATCGAGGATTGCTCGTTAACTTGAAGTTAAGAATCTTATGGAAGGGGTAACTTCGTTAACCAAAATCTAGATTAACGATTGATTTCGTTAACTGAGGACCACTGTGTGTTTGGTGTGTGTGTGTGTGTGTATATATATATATATATATATATATATATATATATATATATATATATATATATATATATATATATATATTTGTGTGTAATAATATGTATGTATTATATGTATGTATGTATTATATGTATTATATATATATACATATGCACACACACACACACACATATACACTACAGTTACCCTCACTTCTGTGGTCCACATTCTGGCGTTTGCAGTGCCCTGCGGGCAGAATGCTCATGTTCATGATGCGTGTACGCTACGCTGAGGCGGCTGGCGAGCAGCGCCATTTTTGAATCCCAAACCTCCGCCATGTTGTGTAGCTGCTTGAACATGGTGCACACAAAATGTACTTGGTCATCAAACATTACCAGTTCTTCACCGCCACCACCACAGCTGGCCCAAGTCAGTGATAGTAATAATTATGGTGAGGATATGGACTTAAATGGACTTTGGGAGTTTGACAAAGAGGCCCTGCAAGCCTCTGTGGTGGATAGTGATCGATTGATACAAGTGACACAGGTGAGGGCCAATAATTTGCCCTCTGCCTCGGGAACCAACCGCCCATCCGTGTGCCCAGCCATTTTCTACTAATGTAAGTGTTAAAAAACCTAATATTGTTGTTCTCTTATATTTATTAATTGTGTGTATTAATTGTGTGTGCATACCATCATAAAGTTAAGATAATATTTTTACTACAACATAGTTGTGTGGATCAGTGGGCGTAGCTAGGTGTGTGCATGGGAGTCCATCTTGAGTTTGCTGCCAAAATACATATTGCACAGTGACTCACTCTATATGTATATATATGTATTATATATATATATATATATATATATATATATATATATATATATATATATATATATATATATATATATATATATATATATATATATATATATTTATATATATATATATATATATATATATATTTTTAAATAGTTTGTGTACCATTATAATATTACTGTACTTTCACGTACTCAAATATAGTATGCTTTTAAATACACCCCAAACATACTTAAACTTTATAAGTAACAGTTAAACAAAAAGCAAAAACGACATATAGGATAGGATAAAAGTAAAAAAGTGTAAAAGTAGGACCATCTTTATTTCTGAAATGAAAACTACAACTTTCTAACCCTAACCTAACCTAACCTAGCCTGACTAACTGCCTAACCTAACCTAACCTAATAGCCACAGAGAAGAGCAGTATATTTTACCTCAACTATTTATTATGTCATTGGACTTTGAGCCCGCTTACTCTTGTCAGACAGCCACCCCAATCAAAGTGGGGACTTGCAGGTGTCTTTGATAGGAGCTTTTGTCTGTGCCCCAGTGAGGATAGTGTCTTAGTATAAAATCTCAATGCTGTGAAACAAAATCTTAATATTTAATCTCAGTACAGCAGCAAAAGTCACATCAATATTTTTTAACCAATACTTTAATATTTCTTACCTTATAGTATTATGTCTTCAACGGTAAATAACTGGATCGAAACACAAAGAGAAAAATTAGTCTAGCTCCTCGTCTTGTCACGATGGAGACTTGTGCAGAACTGAAGGAAGTGAATTGCTTGTAACTGGTGGATTGGTCGGCGTACATGAACTGATATGACCCGAGACTGCATGGTTTTGCAGCTACTGGAGACGTTAATCCTTCCCTTTGTATCGACAAGTTAATCCTCGGTGTCTGACCTAACACCTGACCCACACCACATGAGCTCACTGGCGTACTTGTTTGAAGTTGTTTCCTTAATCCTCAACAGGTTACAGGTTGTGTGTGTGGGGAGACATAGCAAGGGTCTCACGTAGCTCATGACGTGGCGTGATGATGTGGGTCAGGTGTTAGGTCGAACGACAAGGATTAACCTGCCGCCCGATACAAAGGGATGGATTAACGTCTCCAGTAGCTGCAGACATGGGTGACGAGCAGACCCAAAAGTGCCGCCGAGTGGACCGCCCCAGCAGCTACGCTAGTGGTGTAGTCCAAAAAGTGGAGTTTGAGATCGGCCGGACTCCATTTCAATTAATCCATATGTTATGTTATTCACTTTGCAGGACCTCCGAGTTACATTAACAGCGTAAAGTAGTGTAAATATGTAATATATTATATTATATATATATATATATATATATATATATATTAAATATATATATATATATATATATATATATATATATATATATATATATATATATATATATATATATATATATCACACACACACACACACACACACAGTAGTACCCTTAGGGTCAATAAAACCACAGGGTACGTGTGAAGTGAAAACTGCGCTAAGTGAACAACAGAACATATGGGATTAATTCAATAAACTGGCCCGACCCCAAACTCCACTTTTCGACACAATACCTATGTTCTAGTAAAAAATCTTAATTTTATGATGGTACATGCACACAATTAATACTGAAGAGAAATGAAATACAGTCGCCAGTTAATGTCCATTCAAATAATGGACTCAACTCCTTCCCCTCTTCTCACACTACACTGCTGGCTCTTCCTCTCTGAGAAATTTTGAGAAAACCACTAAATTTTTAATAAATAATACCTCAAACTAAGTTAGGATAATACAATTGACATTGCTGGATTCCTTGTAAGACCAGGAATATTTTGAATATAAATATCATATAATTTGCACAAAAAGATAACATATTTACTCAGAGTAAACATTATATCTAAAATTTGTATGTCTAATGCAAAATCTATGATGTTTATATTCAAAATAATCATCAAATGTAAATTCCAGCAATGTAAATTATATTCTGGCCAGGTAATTTGTATGAATTTTATGAGTAAAAAAATATCTTCAGTTAATAAAAAAAATATTCTTCACTGAAACTATCTGTCAATCAAAGTACCTCACCTTGCCTCCCCTCTTCCAACCACGCGGTCAGTTCAACCCTCCCCCACCCCCCACCAATCCTCCCTTCAAGAGATGTTGGGTGAAAAAACTAAATTTAACGTTTAGTATTAAATAATACCTCAGATTAAAGTTAGGATAATATAATTGACATTGCTGGATTCCTGTAAGACCAGGAATATTTTGAATATAAATGTCATATATTTTGCACAAAAGATAACATATTTACTCAGAGTAAACATTACATCTAAAATTTGTATGTCTAATGCAAAATCTATGATGTTTATATTCAAAATGATCATCAAATATAAGAATTCCAGCAATGTAAATTATATTCTGACCTGGTAATTTGTATGAATTTTTATGAGCTAAAACAAATATCTTCAGTTAATAAAAAAAAATATTCTTCCTCACGGTAACAGATGGTCCGTCGGTGGGGTCCCTCCCTCCCCACCCCACCAACGTTCACCAGATTGTGGAAAACCAGAATATTTACCTTTTTAGTAATAAATAATACCTCAAACTAAAGTTAGGATAATATAATGACATTGCTGGATTCCTTGTAAGCCGAATATTTTGAATACAAATGTCATATATTTTGCACAAAAAAATAACATTTACTCAAGTAAACATTATATCTAAAATTTGTAATGTACAAAATCTATGATGTTTATATTCAAAATGATCATCATATTGTGGGAATTCCAGCAATGTAAATTATATTCTGGCGGGTAATTTGTATGAATTTTATGAGCTAAAACAGGAAGGGTGGCGGGTGGGGCGATTAAAATAGCTCTGAGCCAACATACAGCGTATAGGTAAACCGCTTTAAGTGAAAGTTCGGCTCTGGCGAGCACGCGTATACGGTAAAAGCAGCGCTAAGCGAAACGCGCTGAGGGTATACTGTATATATATATATATATATATATATATATATATATATATATATATATATATATATATATATATATATATATATATATATATATATATATATATATATATATATATATATATATATATATATATATATATATATATATATATATATATATATATATATATATATATATATATATATGATGATAACACAAGGAAAGATGTGAATTACCGTGAGGAACTTGTTGTTTTCTTCTTTTTGTGGTTATCCTTTTATATATGGTGGGTGGTGTTTGGGTTTGTGGGGTGTGGGGTTGTGTTGTGGGTGTGTGTGTGGTTTTGTTTTGGGTGGTGTTTTGTTATATATATATAGGGGGGTGTGGGGGGGGTGTTTGTGTGTGTTGGTTGTTTTTTTTTGTTTGGGGGGTTTTTTTTGTATATATATATATATATATATATATACATAAGTAAAAGCAAAAATGCATGTCAGAAACATAAAAATTTCCTAAATGCTTCTTAAATCAATATATATATATATATATATATATATATATATATATATATATATATATATATATATATATATATATATAAGTAGTTAAAATATGTTGAAATCTAAATTCCTAATCGCTCTTAAAACAATATATATATATATATATATATATATATTGTTTTAAGGGCGATTTAGGGAATTTTAGGAGTGTTTCTGACATGCATTTTTGGCTTTACTTTGTATATACTATTCTGTGAGCTGGAACCAATTACCCAATATCCCATTGAAACAATGGTTTTGGTAAACGAAATTTTCGGTTAACGAACGACCCTCTGGAACGAATTGAGTTCGTTAACCGAGGGACCACTGTATATATCAAATACAGTAATGTAAAATTACTCTCCATTGTATATAGCTTTGTAAATGTCTTGTCTCACCTGTTTGCATGTGTAAGTATTAACACTAATGACATAATCTCTCATCAGATATATGTTTACAAATTTCCGCAAACATTCCTGCCACTACCTTACTCCGAGGGATGATTGTGCTTGGACAGATGATGAGGGCGATGAGGATGTGGGACTGAAGGACAAAGGTTTGTTATTTTTGTGAAAATGCAGTTATTCACATACATTTCTTTAGTAGTACAGTAGTTTCTCTATACAGTAGTTTCTCTATACAGTAGTAGATGGATGGCCTGGAGCTACAAATCGTTCTTTAAGGCCAGTTCCAGTACAGGTACCAATTTTATTTTCAATTTTATTTGTATTTTCCATTAAATGGATAAAAAGCTTAAACATTATTTGTAGTTTAAGTTTTAGTGTTAGACCAGTACTGTACTGTACTGTACTGTACTGTACTGTACTGTACTGTATTAAGAGTAACCACCCAACAAAGGTTTTAGTGCATGGCCTGAGATGTGACATCATTAGAGGTCATCATCAATAATTTACCTGGAGGTCTGTAATTAACAAGGTGGGTAAAATTGCTTCAGTGTACTTAAAGGTCAAAATTTTGTTTCAGCAACTGTCTTACCAACATCCTGCACTACCATCATTCTTCATACCCTTCGTACATGAGTACAGTATATTAATTATTCTTATTTAAATGCTTATTTATAATGTTTAAATTAGACATTCTTACGACTAGAGGGGGGCCAGTCTGCCCACTCTGTCCGACTGGTTTCTTCGTGAACGAGTCAATCAAGGGGAATGCTGAAAAGAGTCATAATTTTGGGTAGATGAACATAACTTCCTTCATTTTTTTTTATTAATGTCCATGCACACATAATTAGTGGTATGTCCAGGGGGTGGCCTGGGGTGGCCATGGCCCCCCTGAAATCTGATTGGCCACCCCAGTGGCCCCTCCACTCAGAAGTGGTGAGATGTGTACGGTGATAAGTTATTGAACAAATTAAATAACTCAACTTCGAATGCAACGCAATAATTTTTATGAGGTCCACACTGTTTAGTTATGTCTGCCATTGATAGAAATAGAAGAAAATGGTTGCCATTCAGCTGAGTGCGGAGCCGGGAGTTTTGTTTTCATAGGCGCCGACCACGTGCAGTGAGTTTTGAGGTAAGAAATTAATATTCTCAAGTAAAGTCATTGTAATTTTTGAGTGCCTGAACACAAAATATTGCACAAAGGGGCCACTGTGAGATGGATGACAACTTAAACAAGGGAAAGTTTTTAGCAATTTTGGAAATGATTGCAAAGCATGACTCAGTGGGAGGAAAAAAATGAAGGCCAGTGGCATGAACTGTCAAACATATCACCTCACCTCCCTCCATCCCCCCCATCTTCCCAGCCAGGAAACAGACCATTGCGAATCCCTTAATTTTAGCTCTGTTGATTTATGAGTGTTTGTTTTAACATAATAATACAAAAAACAATGTTTTGTTTATTCTGGGAGATGGGCTGAGGTGTATCTGGGTAGACTGTCAGCCTTTTTAGTATTTTGTGTTTCTCTCAAGTACCAAAATAAATTATTCCATTTAAACAGCACTTCGATTTAGTGTGAATTCGGTTTAAAGCGACCTCTCTTGGAACATATCCCGTGTTATATCCACGTTCTACTGTACAGTGTAATTATAATAAACGAAAATAGAAACAATAATTCTCATTCTGCACTTAAAATGACAATAGTTACGGTACCTGTACCTAAATTGGTGATGTTCACCTGTAAAGAAGAAAAAAGTATCTGTACAGTAAATTAAATAATAAAATAAATATGCTTAGGAGGCATATTAAGGGTAAATAACAAGTGAAATATTACAGAAACACTTGAAATGCCTAGGAACGCACCAAACTCCATGAGGACCAGATGTAAACAAAGGGTATGACGAACCATGGACACTAGCGCCGGTGGGTACTAGTTTTAAAGTTGCCGGCATTTTTGCGGCTGGGTCAGGGAGCCATTCGTTTTGTAAACGTGTGTGTGTGTGTGTGTGTGTGTGTGTGTGTGTGTGTGTCAACAATACACACACAAAACCCATACAAATAAATAATAATTGGAAAAAACTCACAAATAATCAGAAACAAATTTATTAAAAATGTGACAGTCTACCGTCAAGTCTGGACTTGAGGATAGACTCACATTTTCAATAAATTTGTTAATGATTATTTGTGAGAGGATTTTCCAATTATTATTTATTTGTATGTGTTTTGTGTGTGTGTGTGTGTGTGTGTCTACACACACACACACACATACCTGTATACAATACAGGTAAAAAAGAAATAATTATCCTAAGAGCAAACAACACACATAGGGAATATACATTTCTTTGTACACAAGTAAAAATGTACCCCCCCTCGTATGCAAATGTTATTCACGGATTTGGCGATTCGCGGCCATTTTGAGAACCTAATTCCCGTGAATTTGGGGGGCCCCCCGTATACCCAGTTGTAACAACACTAATTTGTACTGTACTGTATAAATAATTTGGTTCTACAATTTTTTCAGGTGGCCGATATGAAAGTTATATGCCATGTGGGGAGATGCTGGTTGTGAGTGTCACACTTCTGACATTACCTTCTTCTAGTGAACAGGGATCACAGGACACCTCCAAGAAGAGAATACTTTACAGTGAAGAAGGGTCGCAAGATACAAGATCAGTGTTGAGCCCTACTCGCTATGACCGACAGTTATTGAAGGCATTGGACAAATCAATGGTTTTCACCAACACCATATCAGATTACTTTGAAGTTAGTCAACAATTACCAGCTGAACCAACATCATCAAAGAAAAACTCCAGTTCAAGTTCAGTGCAACCTGGTAGTATTAAACACAGGACACTGAAAAAAATGTGAGTCGGGGCACAGACCAGTCATTTTGTTGTGTCATTGGTTCACTTTATATTTAAAATATCTAAAAATTCTTTTTACTTTCATTGTGAAATGTAGACTAAAAGTCTGTCTTTGTTTCACTCTTTTGACCACCTTATGAGCTAAATAAAATTGTCTGGCTTCATCCAAACAAAACGTTAAAAGTGGCACCCCTGTAGTGAAGGGGTTAATCACTAAGTACTGTACTGTTCTACATTTGGCATGAATGGTATTTTGGTTGTCTGTAATTTTGTACAGTATTTCATATTTTCAGTCATGCAATGTTGCAAGTACAGTATATATCTTTGTTATGCAGTACATTATTTTTTCTTGATATCCAGAAGCTTTATTGTCTACAAGCTTTTGATGCGTTGATGCTGGGAGACTTCTGTGTTGATGTTGGGAGACTTCTGTGTTGATGTTGGGAGACTTCTGTGTTGATGTTGGGAAACTTCTGTGTTGTTGTTGGGAGACTTCTGTGTTGATGTTGAGAGACTTCTGTGTTGATGTTGGGAGACTTCTGTGTTGATGTTGAGAGACTTCTGTGTTGATGTTGGGAGACTTCTGTGTTGATGTTGGGAGACTTCTGTGTTGATGTTGGGAGACTTCTGTGTTGATGTTGGGAAGACTTCTGTGTTGATGTTGAGAGACTTCTGTGTTGATGTTGAAGACTTCTGTGTTGATGTTGGGGAGACTTCTGTGTTGATGTTAGAGGGAAGACTTCTGTGTTGATGTTGGGAAACTTCTGTGTTGTTGTTAGGGAGAACTTCTGTATGTTGATGTTAAGGAGCTTCTGTGTTGATGTTGGGAACTTCTGTGTTGATGTTGGGAAACTTCTGTGTTGTTGTTGGGAGACTTCTGTGTTGATGTTGAAGACTTCTGTGTTGTTGTTGGGAGACTTATGTGTTGATGTTGGGAGACTTCTGTGTTGATGTTAGAGGGAGACTTCTGTGTTGATGTTGGGAGACTTCTGTGATGTTGGAGACTTCTGTGTGTTGGGAAACTTCTGTGTTGTTGTTAGGAGACTTCTGTGTGTTGATGTTAGGAGACTTCTGTGTTGATGTTAGACTTCTGTGTTGATGTTGGGAGACTTCTGTGTTGATGTTGGGAGACTTCTAATGTTGATGTTGGGAAACTTCTGTGTTGTTGTTGGGAGACTTCTGTCTTGATGTTAGGAAGACTTCTGTGTTGATGTTGGGAGACTTCTGTGTTGTTGTTGGGAGACTGTGATGTTGAAGACTTCTGTGTTTGATGTTGGGGAGACTTCTGTGTTGATGTTAGGGGAGACTTCTGTGTTGATGTTGAAGATTCTGTGTTGATGTTGGAAGGAGACTTCTGTGTTGATGTTAAGGAGACTTCTGTGTTGATGTTAGGAAACTTCTGTGTTGTTGTTGGGAGACTTCTGTGTTGATGTTGAAGACTTCTGTGTTGATGTTGGGAGACTTCTGTGTGTTGATGTTGAAGACTTCTGTGTTGATGTTGGGAGACTTCTATTGATGTTAGGAAGCACATGTTGATGTTAGGAGACTTCTGTGTTGATGTTGGGAGACTTCTGTGTTGATGTTGGGGAGACTTCTGTGTTGATGTTGGGAGACACTGTGTGTTGATGTTGGGAGACTTCTGTGTTGATGTTAGGAAACTTCTGTGTTGTTGTTGGGAAGACTTCTGTGTTGATGTTGAGAAGACTTCTGTGTTGATGTTAGGAGACTTCTGTGGTGATGTTGGGAAACTTCTGTGTTGTTGTTGGGAGACTTCTGTGTTGATGTTGAGAGACTTCTGTGTTGTTGATGCTGGGAGACTTCTGTGTTGATGTTGGGAAGACTTCTGTGTTGATGTTGGGAGACTTCTGTGTTGATGTTGCAGAGAAACTTCTGTGTGTTGATGTTGGGAAGCTTCTGTGTTGTTGTTGAGGAGAGACTTCTGTGTTGTGTTGAGAAGACTTCTGTGTTGATGTTGGGAGACTGTGTTGATGTTGAGACTTCTGTGTTGATGTTGAAGACTTCTGTGTTGATGTTGAAGACTTCTGTGTTGATGTTGGGAACTGTGTTGATGTTGGGAAACTTCTGTGTGTTGTTGTTGGGAGACTTCTGTGTTGATGTTGCGGCTTCTGTGTTGATGTTAGGAGACCTGTGTTGATGTTAGGAAACTGTGTTGATGCTGGGAGAGACTTCTGTGATGTTGGGAGACTTCTGTGTTGATGTTGGGGAGACTTCTGTGTTGTTGCTGGGAAACTTCTGTGTTGATGTTGGGAGACTTCTGTGTTGATGTTGGGAGACTTCTGTGTTGATGTTGGGAAGACTTCTGTGTTGATGTTGGGGAGACTTCTGTGTTGATGTTAGGTGACTTCTGTGTTGATGTTGGGGAGACTTCTGTATTGTTGATGTTGGGAAACTTCTGTATTTATTTGCTGGGAAACTTCTGTGTTGATGTTGAGGAGCTTCTGTGTTGATGTTGGGAGACTTCTGTGTTGATGTTTGGAGACTTCTGTGCTGATGTTGAGAACTTCTGTGTTGTGTTAGCGAGACTTCTGTGTTGATGTTGGGAGACTTCTGTGCTGATGTTGAAGACTTCTGTATGTTGATGTTGGGCGACTTCTGTGTTGTTGTAGGGAGACTTCTGTGTTGATGTTGAGGCACCTGTGTTGATGTTGGGAGACTTCTGTGTTGATGTTGGGGCTTCTGTGCTGATGTTGAGAGACTTCTGTGTTGATGTTGAAGACTTCTGTGTTGATGTTGGGAAGACTTCTGTGCTGATGTTGAAGACTTCTGTGTTGATGTTAGGGAGATTTCTGTGCTGATGTTGAGAGGCTTGTATTTAGTGTTGGAGACACCGTGTTGTGCTGGGAGACTTCTGTGTTTATTTGCTGGGAGACTTCTCTGTGTTGATGTTGGGAAGACTTTGCATTTGTGGTAGAAGACTTCTGTGTTGATGTTAGGGAGGAGACTTCTGTGTTGATGTTGGGGAGACTTCTGTGTGTTGTTTTGGGAGACTTCTGTGTTGTTGCTGGGAAGACACTACTGTGTTGTTGCTGGGGAAGACTTCTGTGTTGATGTTAGGAGAACTTCTACATGTTGATGTTGAGAACTACCATGTGAGTGTTGGGAGACTTCTGTGCTGATGTTGGGGAAGACTTCTGTGTTGATGTTAGGAGACTTCTGTGTTGATGTTTGAGGCTTTCTGTATTTGATGTTAGAAGCTTCTGTGTTGTTGTTAGGAAGACTTCTGTGTGTTGATGTTTGGGGAACTTCTGTGTTGATGTTGGGAGACTTCTGTGTTGATGTTAGGAGACTTCTGTGTTGGTATTTAGGGGAGACTTCTGTGTTGATGTTAGAAACTTCTGTGTTGTTGTTAGAGCTTCTGTGTTTGATGTTGAGACTTCTGTATTGTGTTGGGGAGACTTCTGTATTTGATGTTAGGAAACTTCTGTGTGTTGTTGTTAAAGGAGACTTCTGTGTTGATGTTGAGAGACTTCTGTGTTGTTGCTGGGGAGACTTCTGTGTTGGAAATGTTAGAAGACTTCTGTGTTGATGTTAGGAGACTTCTGTGTGCTGATGTTGAAAGACTTCTGTGTTGATGTTGAGAAGACTTGTGTGTTGATGTTGGGGAGACTTCTGTGTGTTGATGTTGGGAGACTTCTGTGTGTTGTTGCTGGGGAGACTTCTGTGTTGATGTTTGAGACTTGTGATGTTGGGGCTGTGTGTTGATGTTGGGAGACTTCTCTGTGTGATGTTAGGGGCTTTGTGTTGATGTTGCAGGAAACTTCTGTGTTGTTGTTGAGGAAGACTTCTGTGTTGATGTTGAGAAGACTTCTGTGTTGATGTTGGGAGACTGCAGTATTTAGGAGGAACTTCTGTACTGATGTTGAAAGACTTCTGTGTTGATGTTAGGAAACTTCTGTGTTGATGTTGGGGAGAGACTTCTGTGGCGGTGATGTTAGAGGAAACTTCTGTGTTGTTGTTGGGAGACTTCTGTGTTGATGTTAGAGCACAATGGTATTTGCTGGAACTTCTGTGTTGATGTTGAGAACTTCTGTGTTGATGTTGGGAGACTTCTGTGCTGATGTTGAAAGACTTCTGTGTGTTGATGTTGAGGCATTTGATATTGGGAGACTTCTGTGTTGATGGGAGACTTCTGTGTTGTTGCTGGGAGACTTCTGTGTTGATGTTGGGAGACTCTGTGTTGATAGGCCCCGAGACCCTGTGTTGATGTTAGGGGAGCACTTCTGTGTTTGTGCTGGGAGACTTCTGTGTTGTTGCTGGGAGACTTCTGTGTGATGTTGGGAGACTTCTGTGTGTTGATGTTGAGACTTCTGTGTTGATGTTAGGGGAAGACTTCTGTGTTGATGTTGGGAGACTTCTGTGTTGTTTGGGGAGACTTCTGTGTTGTTGCTGGGAGACTTCTGTGCTATGCTGATGTTGAGACTTCTGTGTTGATGTTGGGGAGACTTCTGTGTTGTTGGGAGACTTCTGTGTGTTGTTGTTGGGAGGGCTTCTGTGTTGTTGCTGGGAGACTTCTGTGTTGTTGCTGGGAGCTTCTGTGCTGATGTTGAGACTTCTGTGTTGATGTTGGGAGACTTCTGTGCTGATGTTGAAGACTTCTGTGTTGATGTTGGGGAGACTTCTGTGTTGTTGCTGGGAGACTTCTGCAACTGTTGATGTTGAGAACTTCTGTGTTGATGTTGGGGAGACTTCTGTGCTGATGTTGGGAGACTTCTGTGCTGATGTTAGCTTCTGTGTTGATGTTGAGAGGAAGCTTGTGTGTTGATGTTGGGGGAGCTTCTGTGCTGATGTTGAGACTTCTGTGTTGATGTTAGGGAGACTTCTGTGTTGTTGTTGTTGGGAAGACTTCTGTGTTGTTGTTGCAGGAGACTTCTGTGTTGATGTTGGGGAAACTTCTATTGTTGTTGTTAGGAGACTTCTGTGTTGATGTTGAGAACTTCTGTGTTGATGTTGGGGAGCTTCTGTGCTGATGTTAGGAGACTTCTGTGCTGATGTTGCAGGAAACTGTGTTGTTAGGAGACTTCTGTGTTGATGTTGGGAAGCTTCTGTGTTGTTGTTGGGAGACTTCTGTATTTGATGTTGAGACTTCTGTGTTGATGTTGAGGAGACTTCTGTGCTGATGTTGAACTTCTATGTTGATGTTGAGAGAACTTGTGTGTTGATGTTGCAGGAGACTTCTGTGTGTTGATGTTGGGAGACTTCTGCAAACATTTGATGTTTAGAGGAAACACTACTGTATTGTTGTTGTTAAGAACTTCTGTGTTGATGTTGAGACTTCTGTGTTATTTGCTGGGAGACTTCTGTGTTGATGTTGAGACTTCTGTGTTGATGTTGGGAGACTTCTGTGCTGATGTTGAAAGACTTCTGTGTTGTTGATGTTGAGAGACTTGTGTGTGTTGATGTTGGGAGACTTCTGTGTTGATGTTGGGGGAGACGCTATTGTTGTTGCTGGGAACTTCTGTGTTGATGTTGTGAGACTTGTGTGTGTTGTTGATGTTGGAGACTTCTGTGTTGATGTTGGGAAACCTCTGTATTTGTTGTTAAGGAGACTTCTGTGTTGTTGATGTTGAGAGACTTCTGTGTTGTTGTTAGGGAGACTTATGTGTTGATGTTAGGAGACTTCTGTGTGTTGATGTTGGGGAGACTTCTGTGTTGATGTTGGGAGACTTCTGTGTTGATGTTGGGAGACTTCTGTGTTGATGTTAGGAAACTTCTGTGTTGTTGTTGGGAAGACTTCTGTGTTGATGTTGGGAGACTTCTGTGTTGATGTTGGGAGACTTCTGTGTTGATGTTAGAAGGAGACTTCTGTGTTGATGTTAGGAGACTTCTGTGTTGATGTTAGGAAGCTTCTGTGTGTATTTGTTGTTGGGGAGACTTCTGTGTTGTTGATGTTGGGAGACTTCTGTATGTTGATGTTAGGAGGCTTCTGTGTTGTTGTTGGGGAGACTTCTGTGTGTTGATGTTGAGACTACCTGTGTTGATGTTAGGGGAGACTTCTGTGTTGATGTTGGAGACTTCTGTGTTGATGTTGAAGACTTCTGTGTGTTGATGTTACTTGGGAGACTTCTGTGTTGATGTTGGGAGACTTCTGTGTTGTGTTAGAAACTTCTGTGTTGTTGTTAGAACTTCTGTGTGATGTTGAGACTTCTGTGTTGATGTTAGGGGAGACTTCTGTGTTGATGTTGAAGACTTCTGTATTGTCTTAGGAGAACTTCTGTGTTGATGTTAGGAAACTTCTGTGTGTTGATGTTGAAGACTTCTGTGTTGATGTTGGGAGACTTCTGTGTTGATGTTGGAGACTTCTGTGTTGATGTTGGGAGACTTCTGTGTTGATGTTGGGAGACTTCTGTGTTGATGTTGGGAAACTTCTGTGTTGTTGTTAGGAAGACTTCTGTGTTGATGTTGAGAGACTTCTGTGTTGATGTTGGGGAGACTTCTGTGTTGATGTTAGGGAAACTTCTGTGTTGTTATTTGTTGGGGAGACTTCTGTGTTGATGTTGAAGACTTCCTGTGGTAGTATTTGGGAAACTGCGTTGATGCTGGGGAGACTTCTGTGTTGATGTTTGGGAGACTTGTGTGTGTTGATGTTGGGGGCTTCTGTGTTGATGTTAGGGAAACTTCTGTGACATTTGTTGGGAGACTTCTGTGTGTTGATGTTGAAGACTTCTGTGTTGATGTTGGGAGACTTCTGTGTTGATGTTAGGGAGACTTCTGTGTTGATGTTGAAGACTTCTGTGTTGATGTTGAGGCTTTCTGTGTTGATGTTTGAGACTTCTGTGTTGATGTTAGGAGGAACTTCTGTGATGTTGGGAGACTTCTGTGTTGTTGTTGGGAGAAGCCTGTGTTGATGTTGGGAGACTTCTGTGTTGTTGGGAGACTTCTGTGTTGATGTTGGGGAAACTTCTGTGTTGATGCTGGGAGACTACTGTGTGTTGAGTTGAGACTTCCTGTGTGTTGATGTTGGGGAGACTTCTGTGTTGTTGCTTGAAGCTATATGCGTTGATGTTGGGAGACTTCTGTGTTGATGTTAGGGAAGACTTCTGTGTTGATGTTAGGGGAGACTTCTGTGTTGATGTTAGGAGACTTCTGTGTTGATGTTGGGTGACTTCTGTGTGTTGATGTTGGGAGACTTCTGTGTTGATGTTGGGGAAACTTCTGTGTTGTTGCTGGGAAACTTCTGTGTGTTGATGCTGGGCGACTTCTGTGTTGATGTTGCAGGAGACTTCTGTGTTGATGTTGAGAAGACTTCTGTGTTGATGTTAGAGGCTTTGCTGTGTTGATGCTGGGGAAGAGCTTCTGTGTTGTTGATGTTGGGAGACTTCTGTGTTGATGTTGGGAGACTTCTGTGTTGATGTTGGTGACTGTATTTGTTGCTGGGGAGACTTCTGTGTTGTTGATGTTGGGAAACTTCTGTGTTGTTGCTGGGAAACTTCTGTGTTGATGCTGGGGAGACTTCTGTGTTGATGTTGGGAAAACTTCTGTGTTGTTGCTGGGAAACTTCTGTGTGTGATGCTGGGCGACTTCTGTGTTGATGTTGGGAGACTTCTGTGTTGATGTGAGAGGCTTGCAGTGTTGATGTTGAGAGACTTCTGTGTGGCTGATGTTAGGGAGACTTACTGTGCTGATGTTGTTGAGACTTCTGTGTTGATGTTGGGAGACTTCTGTGTTATTTGCTGGGGAGACTTCTGTGTTGTTGCTGGGAGACTTCTGTGTTGTTGCTGGGAGACTTCTGTGTTGTGTTGATGTTGGGGAATTTCTGTGCGCTGGTGAAGACTTTTCTGTGTTGGTGTTGGGGAGACTTCTGTGTTGTTGCTTTGAGCTTCTGTGTGTTGTTGTTGCTGCAGGAGACTTCTGTGTTGATGTTAGGGGAGACTTCTGTGTTGTTGATGTTGAGAGACTTCTGTGTTGTTGTTGATGTTGGGAGACTTCTGTGTGTTGATGTTGGGGAGACTTCTGTGTTGTTGTTGCTGAGAACTGCAGCATGTTATTTGCTGGGGAGACTTCTGTGTTATTTGCTGGGAGCTTCTGTGTGTTGATGTTGGGGAGACTTCTGTGTTGATGTTGAGAGACTTCTGTGTTGATGTTAGAGCTTCTGTGCTGATGTTGGGAGACTTCTGTGCTGATGTTGAAAGAACTGTGTTGATGTTAAAGAGACTTGTGTGTTGTTGTTGTTGGGAGACTTCTGTGTGTGATGGTGGGGAGGCTTGCAATGTTGTGTTGGGAGACTTCTGTGTTGATGTTAGAGGGAGACTTCTGTTGTTGTTGGGAGACTTCTGTGCTGATGTTGAGAGACTTCTGTGTGTTGATGTTGGGGAAGACTTCTGTGTTGTTGCTGGGAAGACTTCTGTGTTGATGTTGAAGACTTCTGTGTGTTGTTGATGTTGGGAACTTCTGTGCTGATGTTGGGGAGACTTCTGTGCTGATGTTGAAAGAACTTCTGTGTTGATGTTAGAAAGGAGACTTCACCATGTTGTTGTTGGGAGACTTCTGTGTTGTTGTTGGGGAGACTTCTGTGTTGTTGTTGGGAAACTTCTGTGTTGTTGTTAGGGAACTGCATTTGTTGTTGGGAGACTTCTGTGTTGTTGCTGGGAAGACTTCTGTGTTGATGTTGAGAAGACTTCTGTGTTGATGTTGGGGAAGACTTCTGTGTTGTTGTTAGGGAAGACTTCTGTGCTGATGTTGAAGACTTCTGTGTTGATGTTGCAGGAGACTTCTGTGTTGTTGTTGGGGAAGACTTCTGTGTTGTTGTTGGGAGACTTCTGTGTGTGTTGTTGCTGGGAGACTTCTGTGTTGATGTTGAGACTTCTGTGTTGATGTTGGGAGACTTCTGTGCTGATGTTGGGAGACTTCTGTGCTGATGTTGCAGAAAAGACTTCTGTGTTGATGTTGAGAGACTTACTTGTGTGTTGATGTTGGGGAGACTTCTGTATGTTGTTGATGTTGGGAGACTTCTGTGTTGTTGCTGGGAGACTTCTGTGTTGATGTTGAGAAGACTTGTGTGTTGATGTTGGGGAGACTTCTGTGTGTTGTTGTTGGAGACTTCTGTGTTGATGTTGGGAGACTTCTGTGTTGATGTTGGGAGACTTCTGTGTTGATGTTGAGGGCTTCTGTGTTGATGTTGAGACTTCTGTGTGTTGTTGATGTTAGGGGAGACTTCTGTGTGTTGATGTTGGGGAGACTTCTGTGCTGATGTTGGAGACTTCTGTGTTGATGTTGAAGACTTGTGTGCTGATGTTGGGAGACTTCTACTGTGCTGATGTTGGGTGACTTCTGTGTTGATGTTGGGAGACTTCTGTGTTGATGTTGGGAGACTTCTGTGTTGATGTTGGGAAGACTTCTGTGTTGATGTTGGGAGCTTCTGTGTGTTGATGTTGGGGAGACTTCTGTGTTGATGTTGGGAGACTTCTGTGCTGATGTTGGGAGACTTCTGTGTTGATGTTAGGTGACTTCTGTGTTGATGTTGGGAGACTTCTGTGTGTGTTGATGTTAGGAAAACTTCTGTGTTGTTGCTGAAAGCTTCTGTATTGATGTTGAGAAGACTTCTGTGTTGATGTTGGGGAAGACTTCTGTGTTGATGTTTGGAGACTTCTGTGCTGATGTTGAGAAGACTTCTGTGTTGATGTTGAGACTTCTGTGTTGATGTTGGGAGGCTGTGCTGATGTTGAGAGACTTCTGTGTTGATGTTGGGCGACTTCTGTGTTGTTGGGAGACTTCTGTGTTGATGTTGAAGACTTCTGTCTGTTGATGTTGGGAGACTTCTGTGTTGATGTTTGGAGACTTCTGTGCTGATGTTGAGAGACTTCTGTGTATGTTGATGTTAGAGACTTCTGTGTTGATGTTAGGAGACTTCTGTGCTGATGTTGAAGACTTCTGTGTTGATGTTGGGAGATTTCTGTGTGCTGATGTTGAGAACTTCTGTGTTGATGTTGGGGAACTTCTGTGTTGTTGTTGCTGGGGAGACACTTCTGTGTTATTTGCTGGGAAGACTTCTGTGTTGATATTAGAGGAACTTCTGTGTTGATGTTGAGAGACTTCTGTGTTGATGTTGGGAGACTTCTGTGTTGATGTTAGGAGACTTCTGTGTGTTGTTGCTGGGAGACTTCTGTGTGTTGCTGGGAGACTTCTGTGTTGTTGCTGGGAGACTTCTGTGTTGATGTTGGGAAGACTTCTGTGTGTGTTGATGTTGAAGACTTCTGTGTTGATGTTGGGGAACTTCTGTGCTGATGTTGGGAGACTTCTGTGTTGATGTTGGGAACTTCTGTGTTGATGTTGGGAGACTTCTGTGTTGATGTTGGGAAACTTCTGTGTTGTTGGGAGACTTCTGTGTTGTTGATGTGGGAGGCTTCTGTGTTGATGTTGGGAGACTTCTGTGTTGATGTTAGAGGGAGACTTCTGTGTTGATGTTGTTGGGAGACTTCTGTGTTGATGTTGGGAGACTTCTGTGTTGATGTTGGGAAACTTCTGTGTTGTTGTTAAGAGGAACTTCTGTGTGATGTTGGGAGACTTCTGTGGTTGATGTTGGGGAGACTTCTGTGTTGATGTTAGGGAAACTTCTGTGTTGTTGTTGTTGGGGAGACTTCTGTGTGTTGATGTTAGAACTTCTGTGTTGTTGCTGGGAGACTTCTGTGTGATGTTGAGAGACTTCTGTGTTGATGTTGGGGAGACTTCTGTGCTGTTGAAAAGACTTCTGTGTTGATGTTGAAGACTTGTGTGTTGATGTTGGAAAGGAGACTTCTGTGTGTTGATGTTGGGAGACTTCTGTGTTGTTGCTGGGAAGACTTCTGTGTTGATGTTGAGACTTGTGTGTGTTGATGTTGGGGAGACTTCTGTGTTGATGTTGGGGAACTTCTCTGGTGATGTTGGGAGACTTCTGTGTTGATGTTGGGAAACTTCTGTGTTGTTGTTAGGAGACTTCTGTGTTGATGTTGAGAGACTTCTGTGTTGATGTTGGGAGACTTCTGTGTGCTGATGTTGGGAAGACTTCTGTGCTGATGTTGAAAAGACTTCTGTGTTGATGTTGGGGAAACTTCTGTGTTGATGTTGGGAGACTTCTGTGTATTTGATGTTGGGAAAACTTCTGTGTTGTTGTTGGGAGACTTCTGTGTTGATGTTGGGGAACTTCTGTATTTGTTGCTGGGAACTTCTGTGTTGATGTTGAGGAGCCTGTGTTGATGTTGGGAAGACTTCTGTGCTGATGTTGAAGAGCTTCTGTGTTGATGTTGAGAGACTTGTGTGTTGATGTTGGGGAACTGCTGTGTTGATGTTGGGAGACTTCTGTGGTATTTGTGCTGGGAAGACTTCTGTGTTGTTGATGTTGAGAGACTTCTGTGTTGATGTTGAGACTTCTGTGTTGATGTTGGGGAGACTTCTGTGTTGTTGCTAAGGAGACTTCTGTGTTGTTGCTGGGAGACTTCTGTGTTGATGTTAGGAGACTTCTGTGTTGATGTTGAGGCTGTGTTGATGTTAAGGAGACTTCTGTATGTTGATGTTAGGAGAACTTCTGTGTTGTTGCTGAGAGTACCTGTGTTGTTGCTGGGAGACCTGTGCTGATGGTGAGACTTCTGTGTGTTGATGTTGGGGAGACTTCTGTATTTGTTGTTGGGGAGACTTCTGTGTTGTTGTTGGGAGACTTCTGTGTTGTTGCTGGGGAACTTCTGTGTTGTTGCTGGGAGACTTCTGTGCTTTGATGTTGAGAACTACTGTGTTGATGTTGGGAACTTCTGTACTGATGTTGAACTTCTGTATTTGATGTTAGGAGACTTCTGTGTTGTTAGCAAGGAGACTTCTGTGTTGGTGTTGAGACTTCTGTGTTGATGTTGGGGAGACTTCTGTGCTGATGTTGTTGGGGAGACTTCTGTGCTGATGTTGTTGAAAGACTTCTGTGTTGATGTTGTTGAGAGGCTTGTGTGTTGATGTTGGGGAGACTTCTGCAGTATGCTGATGTTGAGACTTCTGCCAATGTTGATGTTGGGAGACTTCTGTGTGTTGTTGTTGGGAGACTTCTGTGTTGTTGTTAAGGAGACTTCTGTGTTGTTGTTGGGAGACTTCTGCTGTGTTATTGTTGTTGGGAGACTTCTGTGTGTTGATGTTGGGGAGACTTCTGTGTTGATGTTACTTGGGAGACTTCTGTGTTGTTTGATGTTGGGGAGACTTCTGTGTTGTTGTTGGGAGACTTCTGTGTTGTTGTTAGGAGACACCTGTGTTGTTGTTGTTGGGAGACTTCTGTGTGTGTTGTTGTTAGGAGACTTCTGTGTGTTGTTGTTGGGAGACTTCTGTGTTGTTGGGAGACTTCTGTATTTGTTGTTAGAAGGGGAGACTTCTGTGTTGTTGTTGGGAGACTTCTGTATTTGTTGTTGGGGAACTTCTGTGTTGTTGGGAGACTTCTGTATTTGTTGTTGTTGTTGGGAGGCTTTTATGTGTTGATGTTAGGAGACTTCTGTGTTTGATGTTAAGGAGACTTCTGTGTTGATGTTAGGAGAGACTTCTGTGTATTGTTGTTGTTGGGAGACTTCTGTGTGTTGATGTTGGGGAGACTTCTGTGTTGATGTTAGGAGACTTCTGCAATACACTGATGTTGGGAGACTACTGTGCTGATGTTGAAGACTTCTGTGTTGATGTTAGGAGACTTCTGTGTTGATGTTGGGGAGGCTTCTACCTGTGTTGATGTTGGGAGACTTCTGTGTGTTTGATGTTGGGAGACTTCTGTGCTGATGTTGGGGCACCTGTGCTGATGTTGAGGAGCTTCTGTGTTGTTGCAGGAGACTTCTGTGTTGATGTTGGGAACTTCTGTGTTGATGTTGAGGAGGACTTCTGTGTTGTTGTTGGGAGACTTCTGTGTTGTTGATGTTGAGACTTCTGTGTTGATGTTGGGAGACTTCTGTGCTGATGTTGGAGGCTTTACCAATGCTGATGTTGAAACTTCTGTATTTGTTGTTGGGAGAGACTTCTGTGTGTGTGTGTTGATGTTGGAAACTTCTGTGTGTTGTTGTTGGGAGACTTCTGTGTGTTGATGTTGAGACTTCTGTGTGTTGATGTTAGGGAAACTTCTGTGTGTTGATGTTGGGAAACTTCTGTGTTGTTGTTAGGAGACTTCTGTGTTGATGTTGGGAGACTTCTGTGTTGTTGTTTAGGAGACTTCTGTGTTGATGTTGAACTTCTGTGTTGTTGTTGTTAGGAGACTTCTGTGTTGATGTTAGGAAACTTCTGTGGCTGTTGGGAGACTTCTGTGTTGATGTTGGGGAGACTTCTGTGTGTGTTGATGTTAGGAGACTTCTGTGTTGTTGTTGGGGAGACTTCTGTGTGTGATGTTGAGGAGCTTCTGTGTGTTGATGTTAGGAGACTTCTGTGCTTTGATGTTAGGAAGACTTCTGTGCTGATGTTAGGAAACTTCTGTGTTGTTGTTAGGGGAGACTTCTGTATGTTGATGTTAGGGGAAACTCTGTGTTGTTGTTGGGAGACTTCTGTGTGTTGATGAAGACTTCTGTGTTGAGGAGACTTCTGTGCTGATGTTGAAAAGACTTCTGTGTTTGATGTTGAAGAAGACTTGTGTGTTGATGTTGCAGGAGACTTCTGTGATGTTGATGTTGGGAGACTTCTGTGTTGATGTTGAGGAAGCTTCTGTGTTGTTGTTGGGAGACTTCTGTGTTGATGTTGAGAAGACTTCTGTGTTATTTGTAGAGACTTCTGTGTGTTGATGTTGAAGACTTCTGTGTTGATGTTGGGAGACTTCTGTGCTGATGTTGAAAGACTTCTGTGTGTTGATGTTGAGAACTTGTGTGTGTTGATGTTAGGGGCTTCTGTGTGTTGATGTTGGGAGACTTCTGTGTTGTTGCTGGGAAGACTTCTGTGTTGATGTTGAAGACTTGTGTGTTGTTGATGTTGGGAGACTTCTGCTGTGTGTTGATGTTGAAACTTCTGTGTGTTGTTGTTGTTAGAGGGAGACTTCTGTGTGTGTTGATGTTGAAGACTTCTGTGTTGTTGTTGGGAAGACTTATGTGTGATGTTGGGAACTTCTGTGTTGATGTTGGGAGACTTCTGTGTTGATGTTGGGAGAACTTCTGCTGTGTTGATGTTAGGGGAGACTTCTGTGTTGATGTTGGGAAACACCTGTGTTGTTGTTGGGAAGACTTCTGTGTTGATGTTGGGAGACTTCTGTGTTGTTGATGTTGGGAGACTTCTGTATTTGATGTTAGGAGACTTCTGTGTTGATGTTGGGAGACTTCTGTGTTGATGTTGGGAGAGACTTCTGTGTTGATGTTAGGAAACTTCTGTGTTGTTGTTGGGAGACTTCTGTGTGTTGATGTTGGGAGACTTCTGTGTTGATGTTGGGAGACTTCTGTGTTGTTGGGGAGACTTCTGTGTGTTGATGTTGAGGAACTTCTGTGTTGATGTTGGGAGACTTCTGTGTTGATGTTGGGAGACTTCTGTGTGTTGTTGATGTTGAACTTCTGTGTTGATGTTGGGAGACTTCTGTGTTGATGTTGGGAAGACTTCTGTGTTGATGTTGGGAAACTTCTGTGTTGTTGTTGGGGAGACTTCTGTGTTGATGTTGAAGACTTCTGTGTTGATGTTGGGAGACTGCTGTGTTGATGTTGAAGACTTCTGTGTGTTGATGTTGGGAGACTTCTGTGTTGATGTTGGAAAACTTCTGTGTTGATGTTGGGAGACTTCTGTGTTGTTGATGTTGGGGAGACTTCTGTGTTGATGTTGGGAGACTTCTGTGTGTTGTTGATGTTAGGAGACTTCTGTGTTGTGTTGGGGAGACTTCTGTGTGTTGATGTTGGGGAAACTGTATTTGTTGTTGGGGAGACTTCTGTGTGATGTTGAGACTTCTGTGTTGATGTTGGGAGGAACTTCTGTGTTGTTGATGTTGGGGAGAAACTTCTGTGTTGTTATTTGTTGTTAGGAACTTCTGCAATGATGATGTTGAGACTTCTGTGTTGATGTTGGGAAACTTCTCGCGTTGATGCTGGGGAAGACTTCTGTGTTGATGTTGGGAGACTTGTGTGTGTTGATGTTGGGAGGAGACTTCTGTGTTGATGTTGGGAAACTTCTGTGTTGTTGTTGGGAGACTTCTGTGTTGATGTTGAAGACTTCTGTGTTGATGTTGGGAAGACTTCTGTGTGTTGATGTTAGGAGACTTCTGTGTTGATGTTGAGAAGACTTCTGTGTTGATGTTGAGACTTCTGTGTTGATGTTGAGAACTTCTGTGTTGATGTTGGGAGACTTCTGTGTTGATGTTGGGGAAACTTCTGTGTTGTTGTTGGGAGACTTCTGTGTTGATGTTGGGAGACTTCTGTGTTGATGTTGGGAGACTTCTGCTGTGTTGATGTTGGGAAACTTCTGTGTTGTGCTGGGAGACTTCTGTGTTGATGTTGGAGACTTCTGTGTTGATGTTGGGAGACTTCTGTGTTATTTGCTGGGGAAACTTCTGTGTTGATGTTGGGAGACTTCTGTGTTGATGTTGGGAAGACTTCTGTGTTGTTGATGTTGGGAGACTTCTGTGGTGTTGATGTTGGGGAGACTTCTGTGTTGATGTTGGGTGACTTCTGTGTTGATGTTGGGAAGACTTCTGTGTTGATGTTGAGGAAACTTCTGCTGTGTTGTTGCTGGGGAAACTTCTGTGTTGATGCTGGGCGACACTTCTGTGTTGATGTTGGGGAGACTTCTGTGTGTTGATGTTGAAGACTTCTGTGTTGTTGTTAAGGAAACTTCTGTGATGCTTGCTGGAGCGACTTCTGTGTTGTGTTGGGAGACTTCTGTGTTGATGTTAGGAGACTTCTGTGTTGATGTTGGGTAACTTCTGTGTATTTATTTGCTGGGAGACTTCTGTGTGTATTGTTGATGTTGGGAAACTTCTGTGTTGTTGCTAGGAAACTTCTGTGTGGCAATGGTGATGCTGGCTGACTTCTGTGTTGATGTTGGGAGACTTCTGTGTTGATGTTGAGAGACTTCTGTGTTGATGTTGGGAGACTTCTGTGTTGATGTTTGGAGACTTCTGTGCTGATGTTGAGAGACTTCTGTGTTGATGTTGAGAGACTTCTGTGTTGATGTTGGGAGACTTCTGTGCTGATGTTGAGAGACTTCTGTGTTGATGTTGGGAGACTTCTGTGTTGTTGCTGGGAGACTTCTGTGTTGTTGCTGGGAGACTTCTGTGTTGTTGCTGGGAATTTCTGTGTTGATGTTGGGAGATTTCTGTGCTGATGTTGAGACTTCTGTGTTCATGTTGGGGAAGACTTCTGTGTGTTGTTGCTGGGAGACTTCTGTGTTGTTGCTGGGAGACTTCTGTGTTGATGTTAGGGGAGACTTCTGTGTTGATGTTGAGAAGACTTCTGTGTTGATGTTGGGGAGACTTCTGTGTTGATGTTGAGGAGACACTTCTGTGTTGTTGCTGGGGAACTTCTGTGTGTTGTTGCTGGGGAGACTTCTGTGTTGTTGCTGGGAAGACTTCTGTGTTGATGTTGGGGAACTTCTGTGTTGATGTTGAGAGACTTCTGTGTTGATGTTGGGAGACTTCTGTGCTGATGTTGGGAGACTTCTGTGCTGATGTTGAAAGACTTCTGTGTTGATGTTGAGACTTGTGTGTGTTGATGTTGGGAGACTTCTGTGCTGATGTTGAGAGACTTCTGTGTTGATGTTGGGAGACTTCTGTGTTGTTGTTGGGAGACTTCTGTGTTGTTGTTGGGAGACTTCTGTGTTGATGTTGAGACTTCTGTGTTGATGTTGGGAGACTTCTGTGTGTAGTTGCTGGGAGACTTCTGTGTTGATGTTGAGAAGACTTCTGTGTATTTTGATGTTGGGAAGACTTCTGTGCTGATGTTGAGGAGACTTCTGTGCTGATGTTGAGAAAGACTTCTGTGTTGATGTTGAGGAGACTTCTGTGTTGTTGTTGGGAGGCTTTGTATTTGTTGTTGGGAGACTTCTGTGTTGTTGTTGGGAGACTTCTGTGTGTTGTTGTTGGGAGACTTCTGTGTTGTGTTGGGAGACTTCTGTGTTGTTGCTGGAGACTTCTGTGTTGATGTTGAGACTTCTGTGTTGATGTTGGGAGACTGTTGTTGTTGGGAGACTTCTGTGCTGATGTTGAAGACTTCTGTGTGTTGATGTTAGAACTTCATTTGTTGGGAGACTTCTGTGTATTTGTTGTTGGGAGACTTCTGTGTTGCTGGGAGACTTCTGTGTTGTTGATGTTGAGACTTCTGTGTTGTTGATGTTGGGGAGAGACTTCTGTGCTGATGTTGGGAGACTTGCTGATGTTGAAAGACTTCTACATGTGTTGATGTTGAAGACGTGTGTGATGTTGGGAGACTTCTGTGTGGTGATGTTGAGGAGACTTCTGTGTTGTTGCTGGGAGACTTCTGTGTTGGTGTTGAGAGACTTGTGTGTTGATGTTGGGAGACTTCTGTGTTGCATTTGTTGGAGACTTCTGTGTTGATGTTGGGAGACTTCTGTGTTGATCATTGGGGAGACTTCTGTGTTGATGTTGAGAGACTTCTGTGTTGATGTTGAGACTTCTGTGTTTGATGTTGGGAGAACTTCTGTATTTGATGTTAGAGAACTTCTGTGCTGATGTTAGGGAGCTTCTGTGTTGTTGAAGACTTGTGTGCTGATGTTTAGGGAGACTTCTGTGCTGATGTTGGGTGACTTCTGTGTTGATGTTGGGAGACTTCTGTGTTGATGTTGGGAGACTTCTGTATTTGATGTTAGAGCTTTGTGGTGATGTTGGGAGACTTCTGTGTTGGTGATGTTGGGGTGAGACTTCTGTGTTGATGTTGGGAGACTTCTGTGCTGATGTTGGGGAGACTTCTGTGTTGATGTTGGGGAACTTGTGTGCTGATGTTGGGAGACTTCTGTGCTGATGTTGGTGACTTCTGTGTTGATGTTGGGAAGACTTCTGTGTTGATGTTGGGGAGACTTCTGTGTTGATGTTGGAGACTTCTGTGTTGATGTTGGGGAGACTTCTGTGTTGATGTTAGAGACTTCTGTGTGGTACGTGTTGGAGGCTACGTGGCGTGTTGAAGACACTCTTCTGTGTTGTCAGGGAACTGCTGTGTTGATGTTGGGAGACACTCTTCTGTGTTGATGTTGAG